CTTGAAAACTGGATGAAGTGACTTGTATCTACTGATAAAAATAAACCTGGTAACGTTCAGAAGCCCAAATCAGTCATCTAAAACATGTATCTAAAAATAAAAGACATCCTGACATAATCATGATAACTAATTGCTTACTTCTAAAAATATTATGCTGAAATATAAGTAATCATTGCATAAATTTTTCCATTCATGTAAGCTCTTGTATTTAGTATTTTCAAGCCTAACCACACAATAAATATCATTTCTAAAAGTACAATGATTATGAACATGTAAAGATTTTTATTTTAAAATAGTTAGACTCTTACCCTGATCGAAGGGTTTTCCCGGACTCCAAGTGCGGAAATAATCATCCTAAGGGGGAAAATAATGTGAATTGAGTGCATATGAGTAATTAAAATGCAAGGATTCATATAAAATCTAAAATTAAATATGAAACACAGAAGCTGTATACAAACCTCTACTTCCTGCAATGGCAAGCAGCAAATTATAAAATAAATAAATAAAAATAAAAAAGAAACAAGAGAAAAAGAATAGTTATCAAAAAGGAACACACTGTTTACAAGTTACAGAAATGTCTTCCAATAAATGTGTTCATTTTCATTGCAAGTCAATGGTTAATATAACAATTTAACTATTTTTGGTTGCCACTTCTCCTAAATATTACAATGCAATATTTTCAATTACAATTCAGTGCATAATATAACATGCAGATAATTACCCTAAGCTAATAAGCTATAAAGTATCTTACCAGTTTCCAATTATACAACTTCATTGTCCCCTAATACAACAGTAAGTGGAACTATTAATATAGCAGGGAAAATACCAAGTGATTCTGCAATGGCTCATAGAGTATAAATATGCTTTATTCAAATCATTCTCTTGTTAATCGAATATCTAAGGAGTTCATCAAAATGCAACCTAGAAGTCGAAAAACATGCACACCTAATTAAGTCCTGCCTAAAGTTTAATTCTTTAATATGGAAAAGAATCAATGCAATATATTTACAATATACTTAGTAAATATGACAGTATAGCACAAATGTAGGGCAAAGCATACTGGAAAGAATTTTGAAAAGTAAGGCCAAATAGACTGTCTATTTATTTACTGTTTTTTACCGCTCTAAAAGCCTTATAAAAGTTCCTCATTAATATCATATTTTATTATAAATTAAAAAGATGTCACTGTTGAAATTAATACACTGTTGTCACTATGGTAACCTGCCAGAAGAGAGTAGCACATCATGGTGAAGTTGTAACATTTCCAAGCTCTAAACTGTTAGACCCACTCAAGTCAGTTAATTGGAAAGCTACAGAAGCTACAGAATTCAAAAGGGGTAAGCAGAGATTCTTTCTCTTTGTGTAAATTTAAGGGGTACAAATGTAGTTTTGTTATATGAATATCACATAGTGGTGAAATCTCAACTTTTAGCGTAACCATCACCTGAATAGTGTGTACATTGTTCCCATTAAGAAATTTCTCAGCTCTCACCCCTCACACCCTCCCACCCTTCCAGGTGTCTCATGTGTATTATTTCACACTCTATGTCAATGTGTACACATTATTTAGCTCCCACTTATAAGTGAGAACATGAGGTGTTTGACTTTCTCTTTCTGAGTTGTTTCACTTAAAATAATGGCCTTCAGTTCCACCCATGTTGAGGCAAAAGACATTTCATTCCCTTTTTATGGCTGAATGGTATTCCATTTTCTTTTTGCAATCACATGTTGATGGACAGTTCGATTGAATCTAATATATTTACTCTTCTGAACAGTGCTGTGATAAACATATGAGTGCGGTTATCCTTTTTATATAATGACTTATCTTCCTTTTTTGAATCTTCTTTCTAGCCTCTTTTTCAGTATCTCCACTGTATAAGGAAGAAAATGCAGCATTGACTTCAATCATAGAAATAAATACAATCCTTTAATTTATTTATGAAAATTTTAAATTAAGTTTCAGGAGTTTTTTTTTTTAATGTGACAAACAGTTAATCAGTACTTTCTGAAATTGCACTCCACTAACTTCAAATTTCTTAAAAAATGAAACAAAGAGAAAAAAATGACATCATTGTAGTTGATACATTTATGTCCAGATAGGGTTATATTAAGAGGAAGACAAATTATAGCAATCTATACCCATAGGTTTTCCACTAAATAATCTAGGATTAGATTAAGAAAGGATAATGCTACTAGATAATTAAACAAACACTGATTATTTATTGTCTTTAAAACATTTTTAAATACAATTATAGCATGATACAATTCTTGGAAAATTAGACTTTCAAATTAAATTACTCCAATAAACGTCTCAAAACTTGAGCTGAGCAACATAACATACTCATTTAGTATCTTTTATTTTTAAAAATGTATCTTACTATTTGAGGATGATGACTATTATTCATTCCAAGCGTGGGGAGGAATTGGGCCGCTATGGTTTTACGTCTCTCCAGAAGCAGAACAGAAAGCTAGACATGCACACGTGAGTGATGGATTTGGAGACAGGCAAACCAGAATTTTAAGTCTGGCTCTACCACTCATTAGCTGCATCACTTTAGAAAAGATGATGGCCTAGACTATCCTCAGATTCCTGTGATGAAAGCTGGAAAAATAATCTCTACCTATTTGAGGGGGAGATATTGGGATTAGTTATCAACTGTGTAAAATGCCAGCACCATATCTGGAATAAAGGAGGTGCTATATCTTAATAGTTACTCATAAGGGTCAAGTTAATGTCTGTCAGTGTCTTTGGGTAACACCATGGACAAGCTGTCATTACTGCTCACCAAATCCTTTGTTTTTCTGATTTCTTACAAGCAGCCATAAACTCATCCTCCTCCTATTTTCAAATCCAATGCTCTCTCAAAAAAAAAAAAAAGTCAAATGTAGCAAATTTTTAAATACCTACATTTATTGCTATAGTAAATGCAAGAAGAAAAATGTTTTTGCTGTCATCTCAGATTATTCTGACATGGTACAGCTACCAGTGGCAACACCCAAAAAGACATGGTTAAGTTTTTATTGTAATAGTGACTCCATTCATATAAACATCACAGAGTCCAAGAAGGCTTTGAAAAGCTGTAGAACTGACATTGTAAGCACTGAAGTCACATAATGTCAAAGCAGCATGTTTCACACAACACATAGTGTTTGCAATACTGAATACCTGAATAGATGAGCAGGAATTAGGGGGGATGTATATTTAAAAAGAATATAATTTTAAAATCTAACCTCAACCACATTTAATGATCTTCCTTCAGAATAATATGGTCAAGCTTGGTGCATTTGGGACCACAGCTATATAAAAATCTATAATCACAATTGTGAAACATGAACTTGGTTCTCTTGGTTATGTTAAGGGCAATCTTGAAGTCTGACCATGGTGGGGATCAGACATATATATGATGGAAAAGGAAGGTAGCCCCACTACTAAGCCATTTTTAGATATATTCTTTGTGTTCTGACATCATTAGACATTTTTTTTTAATTAAAAAAAAAAACAGTTTCACTTCATTAAATCTTAGGAATTTTTGTCAGGATGAGAAATAAAAGTATTTTCATGTAAGTGTTCATTCAGGCACAATTTCTTTTGTTTCAAAACTTTTGTGTGAATATTGGTTGTTCTCAGGCTTCAATTTATATCCAAAATAAGCCAACTAGGGATTTAGAAAACAACTGCAAGAGATGTTTTCAATTGGAGAAATTCTGGGTTTAAATGACTGAAACCAATCCTGAGTGTTTCAAGAAGCAAAGTTGGATTCTTGTCACACACGTTCAAAAACTTATGGAGTGAATTACAGATACCATTAGAATTTAATATTAAAGCATTGCCAACTTCTTGTAGTTATAGAAATAATAATTGCAAGTTGTCCACAAAATAAAGTCTACATAAAAATTGGGCTTAGGTGTTTTATTGTTTAAACTGTCTTTTTCCTTGTAGTTTTAATGCTGTGTCCTTTTCTCTAATTTTAAATTAAAAATATATGTGCACTTTATTGAATACATCTATGTATTGTAGAGCATAGTTTCTCATCCTTAGCATTATTGATAGTTTGAGCCAGATAATTCTTTGTTGTGTTAGGGGTAGGGAGACTATTCTGTGCATTGATCACTATTTAGTACCATCCTCTGCTTCTACTCATGAGATGCTAGTGGGGACACTCCCTCAAGGTGTGACAAAAGGGAAATGTAACAAGTTATTGCCAAATATCCTCTGGAAGAAAAATCACTCTTGTGAAGACAGCTGATGTAGAGTTGTTGGTAAATAAAGACAAATGAATCAAACTACCTTACAACAAAGTACTGCTACTAGTAGCAGATTTTCTGCACACATATTTTATAATATTGAAAGCATATTAAACATTCTATTTTAAATGCAGATTTTTGTGTAATATTTTATTAAGAACATTTTACAACTGTATGAGTTTTTTCTCCAAAATATTTAATGGCTATATAATACCCTTTGGTATCGACTTACTGTCATTTATTTAACTAAGCTCTCATATGTCTATGCCCTATGCCTTTATATTGCTTATCATATTTAGCTATAATAAATAACATACAAATATATCTGACTAAATGTCTATTTTCTTATAAATACAAAACATAACTATAAGTTCAGAAAGGTGATTAGTGAAAATAAACACCACACCCAGTATCGAGAAGCTAATTTCCTGTTCCAATAACTGGTTACAACTAGACTTTGTACAGGTGAAGTGGGTCGGAAGGATAAGCTTACATGGAAAGGTCAACTGTTTGGCTCATTTGTGTCCACACAGCTACGTCTGTACTGATAAACTCTCCCATTGTCTGAAGGAATAATTTGGATTGGCACAGAACTAGGTCAGAGATTGCTTAAGCATCCTCATAGATTTTGATACAGAATCAATTGGGAATAGGAGATCTTGATGCCCAAAAGCTCCATAAATGCCTATAGATGAATATAAAAAGAGTAACACTCAGCCATTATGTTAGCCATTATTAAGCCATTTAAGCCATCCCAGTGGCATGAAGAACTGTTTCGGCAATAAAGTCTTTCTAAAATCTATGTTTGAAAAAAAATGCTTACAAAGCATCACACTTTTAAATATTAGTAAACAGAGACACTATTGAAGTCTACTGAACACAATTTTGTTGCATATTTTCACAACTATTTGGCAATTTATATTAACTGCTTTAAAGTATTTTAAAACTATGGAAAAAAGATCACATCATTATAAAGTGAGACACAGAGGATAATACTTTTGAAGGCACACTTCAAATATAAAATGAATGTCAAAGTGATGATTATCAATTGTAACTATTTTTGTTATAGTATGCTCATATTCTAAGCAAATATGACAGTCTCGATCTGG